ACCCGCCCTCTCACCAAAATTTATTTTACCCACTGTACTATTTGCATAGAAGTGAAATTGCCCTCCCAAATCCGAAAAATCTCCCCGCCCACTCCTCTATAAAGTATTTCCCCGCCCGCTCACAAAACCTTACTCGAACAGCTTTTCACACGAACAGCTTCGTTGACTGCTTCCGATAGTACCTTGATTTGACTTTGCGGTATCGTCATGTGAAAGTACAGTCGATAATAGTCGCATAGGTATGAACTGTTTTAATAAATTCTATGTATACAACGTCTTGTGGTCACGCAACTATGTCGATGAGTCCTCACTCAACTGTGTTGACATTGTGTGTATAAGTTGTTTTAATAATAACGTGAATAGGGTTCTTCGTAGTTGATGTAAACTTTACATTTGAAGTGTCTGTATAATCAATTGAACATCAAATCAGTGTTTCTCCGGGCATAATAGTGATCAGCTGCAGTGGTTTTATCTTCAATTTTTGTTGTTGAAATTTCTGGTAATCTCTCACTTTCAAATTTTGCCACAACGTCCTTCCCGTGGTTTTGTGTTGAGGGACGGTTCCCCAAGCGACTGCGAAGGTCAGAACATGGTACATGTAGTAAACAATATATTTTTATCTCCATGGTCAGAAGCTTGAAACCCTAGGTAGCTTCATGTACTATTCTCACCACGGAGAACTACAAACACCGTTCTTTATACGTACGCATTGTACTAGAGTAGTTTTAGGTTAACTGGATCCTTTATTCAGCAAGCAACCAATTTGTGACCGGTTCTCCAACTTAGATCGTCACAAGGTAAACATGACTTTTCGGTTTAAACTTAATGCCTTTTTTCCAACCCATGAACAATATTACTGTCATATTTTAAAAATATAATAAAAAAATAAAGTGTTTAATATATCTTGTATCCATTCCATGCATTGCCTGCCATATACTGTAAATGCATTACTAGTAATTATTGCTGGGTTTTAATTTTGCTTTTTTCGTTTATAAGTACAATTTGCTAAATTAAATCCACATAAACACATGAAAAAACAATAAAACTCATTGTTTCCCTGCGGTGTTAAGCTAACTTAAAAGTGAAATTGCTCAAAACATCAAAATAGTAAAATTAAATACCAGTGAAAATAAATGGTTTTACAGTATTAATGTAAGGACAAGATGTTAAACCCAGGGATTGCACCAGGGAATCGTGGGATACCATAGTTTCCAGAGATTAAATCTGCTGGTAGATTAGGCTTAACCTGAAGCACTCTTTAAAAAACGCTACATTGGCAGTGATAGAGGGATTGTGCTGCAGCATGTGTATGTAAAAAAAAAAAAACATTTCTGTTATAATCATCTTTTTTGTTTTTTTCAATATTTCCGCAGAGTTGACGAAAGAAGTCAGCATGCCGGAGTGGGTGTATACGAACTATTCACGTGGATATGTCATAGAAATTATTCCTGACGGGTCCAAACAATGTACCAGCCTTCTGCTTATTCCAGCGGAGAACCTATGGCCCGAGTGGGTACGGGGTACTCTCTACTTTATAGCGATGTTATATGTGTTTGTCGGCATTGCAATCATCAGCGATATATTTATGTGCAGTATTGAGGTGATTACGAGTAAAAAACGAACAGTAGTGCGATGGGATGAAGAGAAGAAACAGAGAGTTGAATTTGAAGTCCTTGTGTGGAATGAAACAGTAGCAAATTTGACGCTGATGGCACTGGGGAGTAGTGCTCCTGAGATTCTTCTCTCAGTGGTTGAAGCGTTACAGCGTCTTGATTCAGACGAAGTAGAGGATGCGCTGGGCACATTCACCATCATCGGGAGTGCAGCTTTTAATTTACTAGTAATAACTTCTATTTGTATTGTCAGTGTACCGTCACCCAATGCCAAACGAATTCGAGAGTTTGGAGTTTTTCTTTTAACTGCTGTGTGGTCAATGTGGGCCTATATTTGGATGTTAGTGGTACTTCTATGGATTTCTCCGGGAGTTATAGAAATCTGGGAGGCATGGGTGACTCTGGGCTATATGCCTGTGCTTGTTTTCACAGCATACGCCCAAGACAATGGATGGTGGTGTAAATGTAAAAGACAGCGTACGGCTGTCGGGGCTGATGACCATCAAGGAAGCCAAACGGTAAGTGTAAAGCATCTTGTTTTGAATGATAAAATTGAAGGGAGTTTGAAGCAAATGTTTTTGAATTGAAAAAATCATGTTGATGACCACTATTTTATATTATTTGCGTTCTGTGTTGTTCATTTGTGTCATTCCATCAGAGTGATATTCCAATTATTATCCACAATAATTCTTCGCTGCTACAACATTTTTGTGATTTTCTCAGGGAAAAGTTTGCTCATAAAATCAAAACCATTTACCATATCTTAACGCTGAGAGAATGATTGCATGTATGTTTCTCTAAATCTAATTAAATGATTAAAACTTATTTTAGAACTGACTCCCATTAATAATGAAATCCAATTACTTTAGTGCGTTGTCTTGTTAGAATTACTGGCACCAGTTTCAATATTAAGCTCTCGTGATTCTCACGACTTGTCAACATTTTCATTTCACATAGAATATTATTATTCATTGAGGTTTGTGTAAAATTAAGCCCTTCACAACAATATATTGTGAATTTAATATAAAAAAAAAATGGAGTCATCAATCTTTTTTTCTGATTTAATATACTGTGGCTGTTATTTCTGCCCCTTATAACACCAAAATCAAATTTTATCACAGTTGACAAAATAAAAGACACAATTTTGACAATATTTTTTTGAAAAGTTTTGAATGAGCTCTGTTGCTAATGAGAAATTATGTCCATTTGGTTTACACTATAATATGTAGCTTTAATTACCAAAAGATAAATTTTGTGTGAACTTCATAAGTCTTGGGGAAAATCACACTTCTTAGGACAGTGAGTCAAACATCTGTAGGGAAGGTACTGTAAATTCAATCATAGAGACCAAAAAATACTATGGGAATATAAGAGATTATAATAATGACATAATAATTTTTCTACAAAATCAAAAAACGTAATAATTAGTATCGGTAGCATATGTATTTACGTACATATATTAATGACTTATATGATAAATGTTTGGTTGACATGCACTTCTAATAAGCAAAGTATGTTATACTGATTATAAATTTGAATCTTTACACCACCAGACTTTTTTGCCCAAACTTTTCTGCACTGAATCAAATTTGAGTCAATTTTCAGTTTTTACTCAAACAATTTGGCTATTTTTGTTCCAATCTTCTGCAGGAAAGTGCAGACTATAAACAGGACTATTTTGTGAATTTGTGATGAAAAGAGAGAACGAGTGGTGAAAAGGTTAAAGGTCATTTGTTTTGCTCAGCTGTACTTTTATGTGGTGATATTCAATTTGAGTTTTATATCCAGAGTGAACTGGATTTGGTGAAGGCTTTGGTATGTCAGAATTAGCCTTATTAAATAGAGGCCCATACATGTAATGTGGAAGTGTGGTAAACTTGTTTCATGAAGTGAAAAATTAATTTGAATTTCAATGAATAATTTTATGGAAAAAAACTATTTATATAACAATTACGCTGGAGACCCTTACGTTTTATTCAAACTCTAAGAATGCTATTTCATTGGCTGTAGAAAAGTTTTGGAATGTCAATTACCCATGGTTCTTTGAGGGTTTCAATCAATCATTGGCTGATTTACTTTCTTGCATTGGTTAACGTGTTGTGATTGGTCTATTTTTGTTCCATTGAAATGTATAAAACATTTATGAATATTTTTTATGAAAAACATTTATGTCTTTATGACATTCAATGTATCAGTTTTTTCCAAAACGCTAGTGTTTGTTTTCCTTAAAGTGAGAGTTTCGTCCCCTGCACATGCCCGGGAATTGAGTCCCAAGCGAGATAACAACACGTGCTAAAAACGCAAAGTTTTTAAACAATGACACTCTTTGGCCAACTGATACATGCGCAGGTGACTCCCTGCTTTAAGTTTTGTTGGTAATTTAGAGAATATCATATTACTTAATTGCCTAATCAGTTTGAATCAAGAATTTAAAAATTTAGATTTGAGTTGGTGATGGCCTAAATTGTGCAAATACAAATCAAATAAAAAAAGTTAAAGAACCCTAGCAGGCCATCAGTATTTGTGTTCGATGACCGTGGAATAATGTTTTTTTTTTGAGCTAGCTTAACAAAAAAAAGTTAACCATGTTTAGATAAACTAACCAACCTAATAAACATAAATAGTAGAATGAACAGGTGACCACTGAAGTCGCACTTGTTTGAAGTGCAAATAATAATAGAATATATGCATATGTATAACCTGTTTTGGTGTTCACTCGCATTAATCTACCTATATTCGCCAATATATAGAAGATACACTTTAATAGAAAGCATGAATACGCACCGATATACCTAGAGAACTGAGCGGCACTCGGTACTATCAATGGTGATGGCTATTGTCTGTATTTAAATTGTGACTCAAACGGCTAGTTAACCAGTCTACGGCGTAGGAATTCTTGGAAGCACTCGCCAATGTGGGAAGCAATCATGTTTCAGTGAATTGTCATGGGCAACCTTTATTCAAAAGAGGAATAGTCAATAGGCATGTACTGTAATAGCTAATGTTCGTGTAGATAGCGGTACTTTTGTGTACAATTATAGCTGCAAAGTGGAAAAGGGACATTTTCAAATTCAGTCAACTGTGTTTTTCACTGTGTATGAAAGTAGATGTTTTGATTGTGATGTTAGACGAAGTGTCGCTATATAACCCTCATGCAATTTGATATTAAATGTTAAATGTTAACTCTTTGGAATTTTTTTTTTAAATGGTCAGATTCGCAATTATTAACAGTTGAAAAGATATAATTGCATTAGGGATTTACAACTGAGCCTTTGTGCGTTAAAAAAAAAGAAAAAGGCAATGTGAAAATGTAGAGATCGTACAGACAACAAAGGCATTGTTTATCAACAATACAACAAATAATCTATTGTTTGGAACATTCTAAGTTAATAACAAGTGTGAGGTAACAATAAGCAATGGCTGAATAGGAGAGTGTCTCCAACTTGCCTCCAACTTGCTGCATTCTTGTTTCCATGTAATTATGTACTATGGCCGGGGGTTGATTTTGTGATCTGACACCCTGTAAATACAGAACGTGTGTCTAAAAGACGCGTTTAAATACGCTTTTATATTCACCTGCACTTCATAGGTCACATGACTCAGTAAACACGCAGTGGTGTTATTATATTATAAGTATGATCAATGCTTGTTGTCATGGTGATCAAGTAAACAAATGAATGCATGTTTTGAAAGTGACAAGTCGTGAACATATTAAACTTTATTTTACACCAAACAAAGCCATTGGACAAAACTGCCATGTGTGGATATTGATATAACCCTACAGTTGTCTGGTTTCCTTTCAAGTTTATTATCTGACTTGTTTTTACTTCTTTATTTTTATTCAAATTTATATATTTTTTCTTTCTTTTTTTTAAATTAATTTTTTTCTTTTATTTTCATTTTTTATGAATTGATGCTTGCAATGACCAGAAATGACCAGAAACAAATTCTTTTCTTGTGTTTTTCTCGGGCTGTTCAAGATTAAACGTATGAAGTATGACCCACCAACCCACTTCCCTGAAATGGAATCTTCCAGTCATAGTAAAAAATGTGGAGCAAACCAACTTCATACATTATGAATGGGGGTGGATGGGGTTATGTGTGATTATTGGACAGGCCAATCCGGTATTAAATGCAGACTACTTAAAATGTAGACGATGAGAAAAATGAATAAAAGTCTACCAAACCACTAACATATTTTGTTAATGTGAACTAGAGTGTAAAAGTCATTCACGTGAAACTTCTTAAACATGCAGTAATTGCTCGTGATGAATTCAATTCTAGCAAATGTTCTACCGGTTGTTTTTTCACTGCAAATTTAATGTCTAGCAGTTCAGTAGTCTGACATTGACGTGACCTTAGTGACCTACGCATACTCTGGAAAAAGAATAGCCAAATAAAGGAGTTTTTGTCCATGCATTTTTATCCATGAGTATTGGAGTGGTTTTCGTTAAAGTGAAACGGCTCTTCAATGTTGTGTGATTTTCTCTAGCATTCTCAAAAGATTATTGAGTGCGTGTACGTGCTACAATACAAGATATTATTTAAATAGTCAATTTGTAAAGAAATTAACTACACAATATGAAATTAACCGGATCTCCTAAATTAAGCTAGATTTCTAAACAGTAGACACTCACCAAGTTAGAAGGATTTGTTTATCCTTGAAAGCCAGTTAAATTGTAGGTATGTTTGTCAAAGGCATAAGTGAAATGAAATGAGTGGGGAAAGTAAAGCGAGAATACCTACTTTTAACAATTTGCCTACTGACAATGGTTTTTAATATTAATAATAATTAATATGCTCAGGTCATTGGTTTGTTTCAAAGTTTAGCTGATTAGTGAGTTTCATTTGAATTAATTACTGTATGTTAATTATTGCTATATATCAGTGCAAAA